TGGAAGACAAAGATGGGTCAACGTTCTCATGGCAGAGGCTGACGGTGACCATCTGCTCAAAGTGTCGGGCGCATGCTCACTGGATCGTGCTTGTACGTTAACAAAAATGGCATGGTGCTGTAAGGAGTGTATCGCGCTCCAGAACTGGAAGAGGGTTAGGGGAGAGGAGGGTGAGGAGCACGCGTGACTATGGAGCGAGGTGGAGAAGAGGGGAAAAGTGCGTCACCAGCAGCAGGCTGAGCAAGTGCTGAGAAAAGAGGCTTGGGAAAGATTGTCACAAATAGAAGCGAAGAGGATGGAAAGGGTGGGTTTGGAAAGGCATTGCAATATCTGGAGGGGGAAGGGTATGTCCGAAAACTATCCCAAGTGGCGGAGTAGGGATGTGTTAAATGAGGCTGGGGAAAGACAGTGTCCCAACAGGGGAACGCAGGGAGGATGGGCTAGCTGGGTTGGGAGGGGAATCGCAAAAGTTGGAGGGGCAAGGTTGTGGTGCAGAAGTATCCCATTTCGGGGGCTTAAGGGATGCGTGGACACATTTATATTGGAGGGGCTGGAAAGAGGGATGAGGGAGAAGCGCTGCAATAGGTGGAAGAGTGTGTGTGCATGCGTGTCCATGCTCCAACTTCCATTTGTCCATGCCTCCCTTCTCTCTCTCTCTTTGTGTCTCGGTAAGTGCACTGAAGCCCCAACGGGTCACTAAATTATGTAATGACACGGCATGCTCAAGGTTGCTTCCGTGATGTGACTCTGCTGTTCTAGCAATGTAGCGCATTGATCACTGGACTAGAGGACATGTGCAGGGCAGACAAATGGGTGTTTGTGTCTCTGTAAGCGCACTGAAGCCACAACGGGTTATGTAATGACTCTGCTGTTCTAGCAATGTAGCGCATTGATCACTGGACTAGAGGACATGTGCAAGGCAGACAAATGGGTGTTGGTCATTACAAGCAGTATTGGTTTCCTTGGTTGACTGTAATCGTGATCAATGCTCGTTGATGTCGGCGCAGATGTGCAAGGAGTATTCTGATGCCGGTGCAGCACTGCATGTGGCTTCTTACCCAGTGCACCATGAGCAGTGGATGTCGGTTGAGCTGTAGTTGCATTTGGAGGGGTGGTGTGACATCGAAATGATGTTGCGGGTCTAACCTTACGTTGTTACAGCCAGTGTTCTACTTGAAAGTGTCGTTTTGGTGATGAATTTGCAGCTCTAAGGCTGCGGTATAGTAGGCTTTGGCATCCGTGTTAAGGTGGCACATTTTCAGCGGCGGGGGAGCAGCACACAAGTGGGTTTTAATGGGGTGAAAGTTGTTGGGGACCGGTCCACCACGTTTTTCAACTCTGTACCTACAGCTATCGCACGTAGAGCCAGCGCGGTAGCAAAATTTGACCGGTCCTCCCTTGCATGGGAACTGTAAAAGGGCCCTCAGGCCCAGGCGTCGAGGTCTGTCTTCTCAAAACAGGGAGGCCAACTCTGGGAAGACGTGGGAAGGTGCAGCGAAACAGGCGTCCAGTGCAAGGGGCAATTGTCTACTGCATGGGCGCGGGGAGTGCAGCGGTTGAAATTATTTTTTTAAATACTTCGATACTTTCCTGGAAGGATCACAACAAAATCTACGAGCGCTCCAATTTTCAGATCTTTTCACCCATGCTTCCGAGCGTGAAAAATCACTGAAGTTGAAGTGCTTTTACCGATGGCCTCACGTATGGCTGAGTGGCAAAAATGGAAAATGTGCTTCCCGGAAAGATCACAACAAAATCTACGAGCACTCCAATTTTCAGATTTTTTCACCCATTCTTCTGAGCCGAAACATCACTGGAGTTGGAGTGCTTTTTCCGATGGTCCACGTATGAGCACTCCAATTTTCAGATTTTTTCACCCATTCTTCTTAGCCGAAAAATCACTGAAGTTGGAGTTCTTTTTCCGATGGTCCACGTATGAGCACTCCAATTTTCAGGTTTTTTCACCCATTCTTCTTAGCCGAAAAATCACTGAAGTTGAGTGCTTTTTCCGTAGGTCCACGTATGGCTGAGTAAATGGAAAATGTGCTGAATCGCGGCACAGCGATTATTTCATGGGTCTTAAACCGCCAGTACACGGCCCCAGCCTTGCTGAAAAGAAAACTCCTCGCCTACGAAAATTTCGGAGGCCCGGAGCCGTAGATGAATTGAATCGGCGGCGGGTGGCCTCTGAAACGGGCCTGCGGCCGATAGCTGGATGTACTTGTGGGGCAATGATTTTTCGAATGCTTTTCCTGGAAAGATCACGACCTAAGCTATGGATTCTTAATTTTTAGATTTTTGTGCTAATTCCTCCGAGCACAAAAATTTGCCGGAGTTGCCTCTTGCAAATTGCAGGACTGGACCTGCTCGTACCTTCCACCCTGGACAGCCTGCTTGTGGGACTCCCAACAACGCCTCTCCTTACTTCTTTTTGGGGTCCGCTTCCACCTGACGGCTGGTTCTTCCTTTTTCCAATAGTCCCAGTTCTACGAGAGCTAGCTGTAGATCGTTCGCAATATCGCCAAGGACTGTAAGAACCCACTTGCATACTGGTTGCCCGTCGCCAAGGCCTGGATCGCCATGCAATCTTCAAGTCTTAAGATCGTGGGACGATCTGAGACATCGGCCCTGTAGGACTGCGGGCGGACTGGTTCGTTGCACCGATTGAAAGAGGGGGCCGTTGTAAAAGAACCGCCCCGGCACATCCTGACCATTGGCCCGTTGCAGGGCGGCGCGCTCACTCTACTCAGTTCAATGCCTCTACTGGACCTAGTGAAGCCGACAAACGGCTCTAGTCGTGCACACTCCTCAACACGCTGCATCCTCCGGCCCCGCCACACCTGACAGCTGTTGCACACGGTCGAAGACACTCTCTCTCTCTCTCTCCCTGCCTCCCTCTCTCTCTCTCAGGCATGCCTGCTTTTGTGGAGTTGTGTGTAGTGAACATGGCATCGCACGGTTGCGTGTGCACATGCAAGCGTGCAAAAGCATCGTGGGCAGATTGTCGGGGTTCAGCCTCCTGATGAGTCGGTGAAAGTCCAACGGAACAGTCTGGCTCAGTCTTGCTCTTTTTGTGGAGTTGTGTATGGCGAACATGACAACCCACCCACACTCAAACAAACGAATGCATGCAAGCACACACACTCGCGCCAAAACAGTGTGTGGGCGTGTGTGTGTGTGTGTGTGTGTGTGTGTGTGTGTGTGAGAGAGAGAGAGAGAGAGAGAGAGAGAGAGAGAGAG